TACAACTAACAGTTTTCAAAACTATTGAAGCAACCGCATCGAGGATGGGTGTACCTCGATGTGGTTGCCGCACTAGTTTTGAGAACTGTCGGATGTTTGGAATCAATAGGATGGAGTCAGCATCCTCTATCACATGCTGCCTGAGATGAAGAGGAACAAGAAGAGATCCGGAAAAAAGAGTTTTACCTCGCGCACTCGCGGTTACATAGTTTTGGTCCACCCTGTACGTATAGTCAATTTTTGTATTGGCAAGTGCATAATCCAGAAAGCGATCATGATTACCGAATCTCCCAGCAGATGTAGTGGAAGGCAATAGGGATCAATGCTATCCAAAAAGAGCGTCAAAAACGAATACAGGGCGTCCAAATCGTCGGATGCTTAACAACATTCAGTGACCAGATGAGCACTAGAGCAACAAGATTAGTGTTGAATGGATTCCTCAGAAAGCACACCTATTTATTGATCTTTATCAACGTCATCATTATCGAAAGCTGCAATCTACTCCTCCACTGGAAAACCGCAGTGCACTTGTAGGACGATGCTCTCCTTGAGCACAAGCTCCTTGTCGCCATATTTGCCATCCGTTTATTGAGTGTTCAGTGTTGTAGGTATAGAACCTGGAAAGCTTTCTATGAATTATGATCATAACCTCTTAGTTCTATAGAAATCATTTTTAGGCAGGTGCTCGTAGCTTCCTGGATAGACAGAAAAGGAGTCGCGAATTCCTACTAGAATCGTAAAGGCAGACGATCCTCGAATTAATTCTGTGAATGAGGTAACAGGGTTCCTGAGTATAGGAACGTGGTACTATCGTTACCCAAAATGGGAGGGCGCTAACAAAATAGTCTTCAAGGGCAAGCCGGGCTTCATGAAAATGCTTTCTTGCATGTTGCAGGGACGCATTTATGGACCGCAAAACCATGTTTAGTTTCCGCAAACCAGTTTTAAAGAAAGGTGCTGGACCGATCTCCCGTGGCGACCACATTTTGCATTTCAGGTTGGCGCTTGCGGCTTGGTGTCAAAGTCAGATGTCTAAATCAGATGCCATATTCATAGTCAGGACCATTATTGAAGCCAACAAGTGGCCGCCAACCTTGATTGCAAAATTTAGTCGCCGCGGGGGATCGAACCATCAACAGTATTATTCACACTTTTTTGGTACTACTAAACCGTTCAGCGAAAACGAAACATGGTTTTGTGGTCCATACATGCGTCCCTACAATATGCAAGAAACCGTTTGAAAAAGCGCGGCTTGCCCCGAAAGGTTACCTTTGTAAGATTCTGCTTTGGCCGCTACCTTTTTGCTCATTCCCAGAACATGCGGCGTCCGCTCCCTCTCGTACGTCTCGACCCTGGCGATTCCCTCAACTCGTCGCACTATATCTTCCCTCG